CGGCGAAGACAACGTCGCTGTCGGTCTCGTCACGCTTCTGGACGGAGATGGGATCCACGATGGTTGCTTTCTGTGTATTTAATTGTAGTCAGCAGGTGTATTGGATTTGGGAGAAGGAAAGACGGACTAACCTTTGCGACGATGGGAGCACAAGCAGCCAAGGAGGCAAAGGCCATGACGAAAGAAGTTGCGATCTTCATTTTGAATGATTGGGTTGCAAGAGTGTATCACTGATCGAACTGTGCAAAAACAGACAAAGCCTGGGGTCGTGATGAGTCCAAATCCGAGGTTGGATTGGGGATAGTCAGACGTATTTATGTCAATTCGGGCCGTCTTATGGTATCTCCAGCTCCGATCTCGTTACCTTTTCAAACGGTACTGCAGGATGAATCAAATCCCAGTACCCTGATAACCCGAGTAGCACTGCACTGTATAACAGAAGCCTTATCCTGTGCTAGTAGGCTTGAATTCCGTGCGTACAGAGTGCTACCCCATACTTAGCTATTGATCACTCATTGCACGGTTCTTTTTAGGTCGCCACAAAATCGCTCGAGTTACGATCCAGCTGCATCAGATGATGTTTCTCCTCATTTGAGTGTTTTGAGGGCTACTCTTATTGGGTGAGGGGTGATAGACCCGGGGATTTTCATCGCTGGCGGATGGGGATGGATGGTGCTCTTGGTGAGGAGTAGCTTGGTGTTTTTGATGCTGAATGGGTGATGGTGTTGTATTTGCAGTTTGACGAAACCTTCCCTGCATGGTTCTGCGCGGGCTGTTTTCTCGCGTCATGACCTAATTCAGAAGGGCCTTCTGACATCTGATGGCATTTCATATCAAACCGACTCTGAAAACAGAGTGACGACTTGCACGCAACCATGTCTTTCCACAGTGTGGCTAATCGCCATGATGGTGATGGTTATACTGCTAGAAAGAACTCGACAGAGGAGTCTTCTGGTCTTCTGGACTCACCCCATAGCAACTCAGATGAGGCGGATCGCAATCGACGACAATGGCCACTGTTTTTGATAGTGATTGTCGTGGTTGAAACGTTGATTCTGGCTATTCTAGGCTCCGGGATCGTATATTTTCTTTCAAAGCCTTCGTTTCAATTTCCTCCAAATACTGTTCACTGTATACAACCGATGTCCCCATCTGTTTTTGTACTGTCAATTGACTCTCCTAGCACCGGCGCAACATGTAATTCGTTTCAAGAATGTCGTCTTCTCGTCCAGTTTCAAACCGTACTTGACCAAGTACCAAGGCCCCCCTTCACCAGAAACAGACGACGCATGGCGTGAGCTCTATAATTGTAAGAACCCGGTCCCGTCCTAGGACGAAATGGGTTGCTAACACACAACAGACCCAATCTCCAGAATCGATCGAAAGGATGCCGCAAAGCTAGCAAACCGCACCGTTCCCATCCCAAGAGACCCAGACCACTACGCCGTGTCAATCGACGTCTTCCACCAACTCCACTGCTTGGTAGGTTCACATTCCCCTTCTCTCATCTTAGAAACTGGGACTGATGGCCGTAGCAAATGCTCCGCAAAAGAGCCTGGTATGCCGAAGGATACAACTTCGACCACGACATGATGAATATCGACCATATGGATCATTGCATCGATAGTATTCGGCAGAGTCTTATGTGTTCGGCGGATGTTACTCCTCTTACATGGACTTGGGACGAGGAAGATCAGAAATTAGAGCCGGTGGCCACGATCACGCATACTTGTAGGGATTTTGATGCGGTTAGGGAGTGGGCGAGGGAGAATATTGTGAGAGTGTTTGATACTAGTGTGCGTGTTGAGCCGGATGTTTGACGTTGGCGCTGGGTTGTGTATTATGTGTCGATATTGAAATGTGATATTCATGTATAGCTGTCTTCAAGTGTACTAGTTCCTGTTGTCTAAACCATCTTGTGGGTGATATGGACTCGGAAGGTCCGTGTGCAGCCGGAAATCCCGGACATATATAACCGCATCCAACCATCTCCCATCCAACCAACATAACAACATCTAAAGCATCAAACTTAAGCCATCGCAAAAATGCCACTCACAGCAACCTACAAACAAACCCCCTCCACCAAAATCACCGCCGACATCTACCTCCCCTCTCCTTCAACATCTCCATGTCCCGTCCGTGAGTATCCCCAATCCACACATATCCTCAACAATACTAACCAGAACTCACAGTAATTAACATCCACGGCGGCGCCTTCATGCTAGGTGACTCGCGCATGATCTCAATCCCCCAAGTAGACGACTGTCTGTCACGTGACTGGATCGTCGTCGTCCCGAATCACCGGCTGTGTCCGCAGGTGAATATTCGGGACGGTCCGCTGCGCGATGTGAGGGATTGTCTGGAGTGGGTGTATGCAGATGATGGATTGGACAGGTTTTTGAGGGAGAGCGAGGAAGGGAAGGGGTATTCTGTTGATAAGGAGAGGGTCATGGCGTTCGGGACGTCGAGTGGAGGAATGTTGGCTTGTGGATTGGTAGGCCCCTCTATTTATCATTGAAATATGAGAAGATACTAAAAAAAAAAAAAACAGGGCTACGATGTCTCCCGTCCACCACGGGCAATCCTTAACTTCTACGGCGCAGTCCACTTCACCCACCCATGCTGGACGCAGCCCATCCCCGGCATCCAGTCCAAACTACCCCCAAGCCTCACTCCCTCTTTCCTAGAACAAGTGTATACACAGACACCAATCCCAACAAGCAGCAACGTATCCCTAGAAGGCCAAACCGAAACCGGCCAAAGCGCAGGTCCCGATTTCTCCCGCCCCCGCGACGCCTTCGCCTTCACGCAGATCGCCAACGGCACTGTGATTCAGGCGTGTTGTCCTGATCCTGAGGTGCGGAGGAAAATCGACCCCGTGCTTAATGTGAAGAAAGGGTTCCCGCCGACGTTTGTCGTACACGGGCTTGAAGATAAGATGGTTTCGATCGAGGTAAGTCGGGAGTTGGTACGGGTGCTTAAGGAAGCAGGGGTGGAGTGTGGGATGGTTGAGGTACCGGGGGAGGGACATACGTTTGCTATGGCGATGAAGGTTGGGGGGAGGACTTGGGGGATGCAGATGGAGGGGTTTGAGTTTTTGGAGAGGGTTATTTCTTGATTAAGCCGTGACTTGACTTGTGCTTGTTATGGATACCGAAATGTCAATACATATCAACAACGACAACAACAGTGAGCGTCCAGCGCTTCATTTATGTTCCACCATCCATCAAACGCATTCATATCATGTCCAACGACAACAACGACTACCGGTCATATCGCCGACTCATCGAGTGCCTCGAACAAACATATCCCACCAGCACCGTCTTCTCCTCGACCTCATGATGGCCGTACCTCTCGCACGGATCAACTGCATGCTCGAAGTAGAGGCATTTGCAGACGGCGTATCGCTCGATCACTTTGTAACACATGTTGCTTGCTTATGATTGTTGATCGAGATGTACTATCAGAAGTCAGTAGCTGTTTTTTCAACAGTCCGGGTGAGTAACATACAATCAGGGGTGAAAAAGAGTGAAACTGACTGACGAACCGACAGGAAGAGAAATCGAGTCACCCGTTCATTTATAGCCAGACAGACAAGCCACAACAACAACAGAGATGAAATCCGAAGATCCGAACAAGCATGCATGTGTGTGACAATCCGTCAATCACTCAACGACACAGCAAAAAGCAAAAGCAAGCAATGCCAATAGTTCTGCAGCAAACAATCGTCAGCGAAGTTCATATACCCAGTCACATCAACAGGAAAACATACCCCGGAACCATCGCAGTCAGACAATGACAATGTCAGCCAAGCATTAACTTCGGAGAGTACCGAGTCAGTAATTCTCTGGAATTGAGGGTCTTAAAGAAATATGGTTAATATATGGGATGTAAATTCATAAATAAAGAAAAGAAAAGAATGATGTGCCCCGTGCCCTGACTCCATATCGATCGCAATATACCGGATATATTTAGTCTCTGTGGAAGTGGATAAAAAGTGACACTCATTGCCCGACAAGAACAACTCATACTTTACTGTAAGACAGGACAAGACTTGGTGCTACCTTGTGGATACACATTTATTCTCTAGTATATTATACATACCCTTGTGATAGCAAATAAATGCACATTTCTACACAGCACAGCATACAGTAAATATGCATTAAATTACATAGCACTAGGGAAAAAAGAAAGAAAAAAAAAAAAAAAAAAAAAAAA